AGTCTCGGACAGTGAGGGATGTTAGAAATTAAAACTCACAGGCTGTGATTGTTTCACCGACTGCGGATGCACAGATACAGTGGACGGAAAGTTCACTTCGCTGCTGAACTGAATTTCAAGGTTAACCTGAGCTCCCATGTTGTTCCTGTCAATGTGGTCTGGGAAAAAAAAGCTTACAGCATTTCATTAGCAGTAAAACAGTAAGTCAAGGTCAGTTTGATTGGTTTCTCACTTGAAGTATGTTACTTGAATGTAACCTTGACCAACAATTTGAGCGTTTTTGATATTTTCCTATTCATAGGAGCTGCGTTTGAATGACTGACCAAGGGAGTTCCCAAGATGACTGGAAAAGATCAGGATACGAGGAAAGAATGGGATTGGAAAATGTCACCGCATGAAAAGATTTAGACTTCAAAATCACAGTGGATATACTTTATTAACCATAATCTGACATATTTCCAATGAAAATGGGATAATTAGGAAGTAAAATAGTTTGTAAAAGGACTTGCTAAGGTGTTAAAAGTTATTACATTTTGATAAAAGATTACAAAATAATTCTTTGGAATAATGCACAACATGAAACTGTTCAAAATAAGACCAAGTGCATGCATTAAGAAAGTAAATACAGTCAGTTTTGATTTCATATCGACTTCATATTCATTATCTTTGAATTAAGTAAGAAAGACCTCAAGCTTTCGGACTTTAATCTACCACTAAAAGTCTGTGCAGCTTTCATCCTCTCAGTTTCTCTCTTTTGTAGTCCTGCTCTAGATGGGAACATTGCTGAATCAATGCTAAATCCCACTGACAAATTTATATTGATAAAACATAATGAAATAGAGTGTGAACCCAGAAAAAGCCAGTTAACGGATTTGATGTCAGTTGTCGGTCAGGCACAGTTGTAGTCAGCGTGTAATTGGCACTGGAGTGAATGAATGTTGGAGTGTGGGAGCTGTTTTCAGATTGTCCTCTGTGGAGGTTATGAGACTTGGGGCAAATGAGCTGACGTTCTTCATTCTGGGGTCTAATAAATGCAGCGAGACCTGTCAGTCAATCTGGACAAGAAATATCACAGATCTCTTTAATATAGTTCCTCTGAGAAATAAGATTATGTAGAGGACAAATGGAGACTTTTGGTGACTTCAGTCTTCTCAGATTTGTCTTGAGAAGTCACCCCAGTAATTTCGCACGTGTCTCCTGAAAATGTGTCTCCAGAACACCAGAAGGGGCCAAAAACATTTCAACAGTCAGAACCATACTGAAACTATGAGCCAGTATTACATTAGAGACGTGGGATCTTTTGACTTGGACTAGTGAGAAAAAAGACCTAATAATCAGAACAACCACCAATTAGCATTGTGACAAGTTTTGCACAGGCAAGTACCACTCACACTGTCCTGGTGAAACGTTTGAGATAAAGTTGATACCTAATGTACACTTCCATCAGTTTGGGTCAGTAAGATAAAAAAAAAAAAATGAAATTAATACTTTTATTTTGCAAAGATGCATTAAATTTGATCAAAAGTGACAGTAAAAATATTGGTTGCACTTTATTTTACAGTACGTGTACTTACATGTACTTACAGTGTACCTACCTAAGAAATTCTGGTAATACAAGGTAACTACATGGGGTAGGGTTAGGTTTAGGGGTAGGTTCAGGGTTAGTACCTAGTTTTTACATAGTTATTGTAATTACTATAATAAGTACATAGTATGTACATGAAGAACAGGACTGTATATAAAGTGCTACCAAATTATTTATAATGTTACAGAAGATTTCTATTTTAAATAAATGCTATTCTTTTGAACTTTCTATTCATCAGAGAATCCTGAACAAGAATAAGAATCATAACCATTATTTTCCTTAAATGGTTAGTTCAGCCAAAAATTTTTAAAAATGATGTCATTAATTACGCACCCTTATGTCATTCCAAACCCGTAAGACCTTCGTTCATCTTTGGAACTGACACGGAAGACAAGAATTGTTGAATAAAGTTGTTATTTTTGTTTTCTTTGCACATAAGAAGTATTCTAGTAGCTTCATAAAATGATGGTTGAACCACTGATGTCACATGGACTATTTTAGCCATGTCCTTAGTTACCTTTCTGGGCCTGGGAACGTTTCAGTTGCATTGCTGTCTATGCAGGGTCAGAAAGCTCTTGGATTTCATCAAAAACATCTTAATTTGTGTTCTGAAGATGAACAAAGGGCTTACGGGTTTGGAACAACATGAGAGTGAGAGTATTTTTGGGTGAACTATCCTATCCCTTTAAAAAATTTACAAATTTCCCTGTTTCCACAAAATATTAAGCAGCACACGTGTTTTCAACATTGATAATAATAAGAAATGTTTCTTGAGCAGCAAATCAGCATATTAGAATGATTTCTGAAGGATCATGTGACACTGAAGACTGGACTAATGATGCTGAAAATTCAGGTAGAAATACACTTTAAAATATATTCAAATAAAAGTTATTTAAAATTGTAAGAACATTAGTGAACATAAGAGACTTCTCTCAAAAAATAAAAATCTTACCAAGCCAAACTTTTGAATGGTAGTGTACATTAAACATTGCTGGGGAGTTCATTAAGTTTTAAAGGAACAACATCTGAGCAATAAAATTTCATCTGGAGTCAGATATTAGGAAATAGTAGCAGAAATTCTCAATCAGACCTTTAGTTTCCTTTAGACAGTTCCTGAAGGAATTACCTTATTACTGGGATGTTCATGTGCCCCATTCTGAAGTGAACCAATAACTTCCCTTAAGGAAATCACGGTTCCTTTCACGTTAGGCTGAAATTTATTTAGTCTCTCCAAATATGTCTGAATCCATCCCAGTAAGAAATGAGCCATACATGACATAAATGAGAAGCGACGGACTTCGTTTTGAGCCAGTCTGTGGCGAGCACATGCTTTTCTGATAGAGCAAATCCATTTCAATTCTATTGAAAGTATCAAAAGAAAAGATATGTGTTCATTTCATACTCCACTCGAGAGCTCTAAGTAATCTGGGCTTAGCGAGTCCCTCTCATGAGAAGCACGAGAGGGAGGGCGATGAGGGTAGAAACTGTTCAAACAAAGTGAAGTGGATGAGATATTAAATTAGAAATGTTCTGTTTGGAGGCCTGGCAGATTCCAACTGATGTGAGTGTGCAAAGGTCTTTACATAATCGTGAAACAAAAGGTGAAAGACTGGCACGGTTTTAGCTAGTTGTTTCACTCCGGAATCCGGGTTGGCTGCCGTAATGAAGATGTCCTCGGTGACATTGTACGGCCACGGCGTCGCTAAAAGAGAAGAGGTTGAGCGGCCACTACTTGAAAAGCCATTTCAGCTTTGATATGTCACGGCCGTATGAGGTTCTGTAGGATAAGCAGTTCCTTTCGCAAATTGCACAACAGAGAGAGAAAGTACTTGCAGAGGACTTTGTTCAGTGGAGCGTAGCCGTTATGGCACTAGGTTATGAAGTTTAATATTTTTGGCGGCCGTTCAAAGAGAATAACACAAGAGAAGACGGATGCTAGTCCGCTACTGCCAGGCACAGACACAATCCTCAGTACTCTTCTGAATGTCACAGAGAACGAGTGCGTGCCGTGCAGTGGACAAAGTGTGGTGTTTTCGTTCCTGTGTGAACAGTTGTTACTATGAAGGGGTCAACGTTTAGCTGTTTAGCATGGCCTAGTTAGCATGTTAGCTGCTGAAGAAAAAAAAAACTGAAACCAGCCTAAGTTGGTTGGCTGGTTTTAGCTGGTCTTCCAGCCTGGTCGTAGCTGGTTTAGTAGGCTGGCTTTAGAGTGGTTTTGACCACTTTTTTAGCTAGTCAGGCTGGGAGACCAGCTGACTAACCAGCTTAAAACAGCTGAATATCAGCTTTGTCAGGTAAGGTCATGACCAGCTTAAACCAGCTAAGACCAGCCAACCAGTATAGGTCAGTTTTAGTGTTTTTGTTTGTTTGTTTGTTTGTTTTCCAGCAGGGAGATGCTATTTCATCTATGATACATGGGCTAAGACAAATTATTAATGGGTATTTTATTTGTTGCCTTATTAGAAATGATAGAAAATTGCTTTACCATGTACTCTTAATCATGAAAGTATGTTAATGTGTAAAGTTACATAAATCACAGGTATATTAAATTATTAGACACTTGGGCCAGTAAGGAAACACCCACCACTAGAAACCCTAACAAAACCACAGCAACGCCCTGGCAAAATGGCAGCTAGTTTTCCACAGGCAAGTAACCCTCAAATTTTTACAAATTTTTACTAGTCTTATTGTACTAATTACTATTTTTATCTTATTTTATTAAACATATCTTATCGGACTACTCTGCTTTTAATGCAAGTTGTCTTCTTAAGGAATAGTTTTTTAAAATCCTTACAGAAAATTACAGCTGCTGACATAGAATTAACATTTATATTACCTAAATACCTACTGTTTCTAATTTATCCAATGACATTGTATTGTTAATTACTTAATTGTCATATTTACTCATTTAAATTGTCACACATCACATTATACTGCATTACCAAAGCTAAAAATGGTCAAATTAAACATTAGCCTGTGCGTTCAGTAAGCCTTCGTTTAACAAACTAACAGCTAAGCATGCTGACTTAGCATAGCACTACTACTTCTCTTACTAACTAAAACCAGAAATCATGGCAACATGCAAGGTTTTACACAGGCATTGAAGATCCACCATCTGGATCCTAAAAGCATTTTCGGACCAATCTACACTGGTGGTCATTTAAAATGAGCTAAATATCTATTCTGACAAAGTCATTTTTTTATAATTTTACCAACCCAATTCTTTTGCAAGGGCTTTTTTTTTATTGTTAAGACTCATAATACTTAAAGATATAATACTCAAAGCACAGCTGCATTAAGTTAAAACTGCTTTAAAGTAAAGGAAAGGAATGAACACAAGAAAGACAACGTAGATAAATGAGCCGGGAGTTTTAATGAATACCTTTGTTGTTCTTTTGAAATTTAAAGTAGGCCCCATCCCTCGTTCCTCAACTTAATGAAGAAAACAGCCTGCCACGCTCAGAGCAGAGCGCTAAAGTACCGTCTTGGCGAACAATCAGTCGTTCTGCCACAGACAATGGAGACAAATCAAGGAAAATTCAACCTACATAAAACAATTAACCATTCAAACATCAGCCCTGTGCGCAGAGGGGATTGTCTTCTGTGATGAATCCTCAATTTGAGGTAAGAGGTGAATAAGTCTCAAAAAGGTTTCATCTTTTGGATTTCTTTGTTTCTGAATGTTTCTGAACGTTCTCTTTTGACTTTTGAATTGCATAAATTCTCGTTCATATTGCAGCTAATTCTTACCAAGAACCGCCCACTTAAACAGGAAGTGACTGTCTGATTGACATTTAAAGTGACCATCCACAGTTCTCTCACCATATTCGGACAATATTGTGCATACAGGTAACTAACTATGATTTGACTTGGACACACAAAAAAATTATGTAAAAGCATATAAATACTTTTTTTGTTGTTGTTGTTTGTTTTGTTTTTTGTTTTTTTGAGTGCTTGGGTATCAGAATACGTGTGCATATGTTGTTGAGCAAGCGTACTCCACGCTGCAGTTTATCAAATCACACCTTCAAGGTCACTATTACAGAACAGTCTCTCTCTTTCCATTTCCTCTGGAGCATTTTTCAGTTGTGCTCTGTTTTCTCAATGAGATACCGGGCCGTGTTCCCCAGCTGTCTCCGCAGCTTTAAATGCATGACTACCCATTCCGATCTCCCTATAGGGGAACAGAATGAGTCTACTTTACTTCAGTGGGGTCTACCGCAGGCCGGCGAGCGTCTCCAGGGGACAGCGCGTTTAAACACGCCGCATCCAACAAGCCTCAGCTTGAGAGCAGATTTCACAAATCATCATATCAGTTAAAAGCAAAAAATATGCGTAATCATGATACACTGTCATTTTTCGTTGCATATAGAGTGACAGATATATCCAGAAGGCATACATACACTGATTCTCATGAATCAAATGTGTTTTGCCTGCCTTTCATTTAAAAAAAAAAAAGCCTGCATTTTCCAGATAATCACTAGAATGATTTTGTAACAAAAATGTACCAATTTTACTTTCTCTTTACTTTATCAAAATTATGACATTCAATTATCATTAAAATAAATAATTAAATTATCACTTAAACTTTAATTCAGTATAAACTGATATTAGGGCAGTCAGTTGATTAAAAATTATATTTAATTAATCATCAAATTAATTAAATTAACTGCATAATTTTATCACATTATTTTGTTATAATTAATCATGTCATGAAAGTCCTCTTTATAGATAGAGATAGATAGATAGTTATTTATCCTATAAAGAAGTACTATTCTCACATAATAAAAATAGCTTATTAAAATGTGCCTTACAAATTCTTGTTAGTTATTTATGACATTCATTATTTTACAATAAGTACAGGCAATATGAAATTCAGTGAAATATAAATTCTTCACTATCATGATTTGTCAGGCCTGTTTTGTCTCAGATTGTAAAGACGATGTTTTGTAGGTCCTCCTAACAGTTTTAAAAAAAATGCTTAGACACTAAAAGTGGTACTTGAGGCCCACTCAGTGAAGCCATTCACTCATATACCTCATCTTTAGACCAAATCTGCAACACAGTTCTCTACATTACACACATCATTCAAAACTAACAGCTCTTTTGTTAAATTTGGGAAACTGCCATTTAAATGCCACTCATTTACTGATGACCTACTCCTACTCTGTGTGTGTGTGTGTGTGTGTGTGTGTGTGTGTGTGTGTATAGAGTACATATACATAATGAGGAAAAAAAATTAACTTAAATGATTTTAGCAAATGGCTGCAATATAACAAAGAGTGAAAAATTTAAGGCGGTCTGAATACTTTCCGTACCCACTGTATATATATACACTGAATATGCATACAAGCTAAGTCAGAATGTCAACTTTATTTCTAAAGCGCTTTATATAATTGTTTCACAGCAGCTTCACAATAGTATCAAATTCAAATTCTGATGTAAAGCTGCAAGTCAATAGTGTCATTATACATCTCAAGTCAGTTCAGTATTGATATAGTTAAGTTGCATAACTGTGTAAAATTCATCAGTTGTACATACATACTGTATATACAGTGTATATGTTCATATGCATGTATGTGCGAGTGCTCTGATAAACTCCTGTGCTCCACTGCACTCTGAACAAGCAAAAGACACACAAGAGTAGTGTTTTACATTTTTCACATCTGTGTGTAGTTTGGTGTGTATGGGCTAATTATTTGATGCTTGTGTGTAGAGTTACTACGCAAAAATAGCACTTTTAGAAGAGTTAAAATAGTTTTGAATTAAGTGTTTGCTTTTGCAAGATATGTGTGACAAAAACTGTAAGCATTTTTTTTTTTTAAGTAGTAGCTAGAAACATCAGAAAACCAAGTGGGAAAATATAAGATTGGGATTTTGGAGACACAATTTGGCATGACTTATTAAGACTTATTAATCTTATTAATATCATATCTAACTTTCATTACACAAATTTATATTTTTGTTGTGTATTAGTAATGTTAGAAGTTGTCTGGCTGTCAACATCATATAAAATGAGGTATAAAATATCAGGAGGTAAAGAAAATAGTTGTAGCCATATAGGGGATTTTGTACCTTTCGTAATATATCATATTGATTTTTCACATAGCGAATATGTGCGTGTGGCATTTGAGTGCTAATGCACCTGAGCCCTTGAAATAGGATGCATGATAAAAATAATCCTGTGTGGAGCCAGCAATGCTAATCAATACACTTCCAGGCTTGGCTGCTAACATTAGCTTGGAAGGCTAATGTGGTAGATCTTTGAGATTAAATTCATTGTGTCGGCTGGGACTTGTTTTGCCTTTGCTTGCATTTGTGTGAAATCAAACGGACAGGTAGTCCCAGTCGACTCATTTAGTTCTGTTGTTGTAGTTTAAGTGTGTTCTTGGCTATTTGTTCATTTATGTGTGTATATGTGTGCGTGCACATGTTGCCATTTTCTGCTCGTTATCTCACAGAGCTGCTGGGAAAGATCCACCTGAGTCTCTCACAACCTCTTTGCCATTTTTGGTTTTGTAAATGGAGAGAAAACACAGCCCCTGATCAGGCTATCAGTGCTCCTCCGAGCTTGAGTAAGCCAACATAATGAATGATCAAAGGAAACAAGCTAACTTGCTAATGCAGAAGCAGTAGGCTGTACATGGTTCGTTGCAACGATAGCACATACAAATAGTAAATCTTCAGTTGTTTAAGATACGTAAAGGTGATGTGTCTCTTGATTTTAAAATACTTTCTCTTATTCCAGCAACAGCAAGTTACTTTATTAGCCAGTTAAATAAAATATACCGGAAATATGTTAATGAGTTGACTGTATGACAGTTTCAAGATAAAAAATAGTAAAAAAATAGTAAATAGCATATAATTAAAATGTGAAAAAGGCAAAAGATGATGAATTTAGTATTGGTTAATGTAAATACGGATAATATTTATGTTCACAATGACTTTGGTTTTTTTAAATAAGCAGAATTATAATAGTGTTTCAAAACAAATACATTTTTGTGATTGCATTTGGTGCAGAGCAAACAATCTGTTGACTCTTTTTTCAGCAAGAACACAAATTATAGTTCCCTAATTCATTCGCACAGTCCGCTAACAGAATTTAAGGCTACAGTACGACCCAATTTAGCAGGGAAACTCCCATAAGCATGATATATTGTTGCTGCTACGTTTCTGTGGCTCATCTCATTATGGATTCTTATCACCATGTGAAGTTTCCATGCGCAGTATGAGAGAGCGAGATAAGGCTGGGGTTTAAAATCATTTTAGGCCTGGCCATTGTGATAAAAAATTATAACCTCTCCTCTTATCTTTCAAGCGCAAGAGAGGAATCATCTGATGTAGAGGTATGTATCTGCAAAAAAACACTAAAGAGTGCTGCTTTGTTATTAGCTGAGCTGTTGAGCTGCTTTGCTGTCATTGGTTCACTCATTCCATGCTTCACTCTGATTGGCTCACAGGTCGCCAGGCCAATAGCGACGACTGTTGGGGATTAGCAGAAAGCTGCCAGAGCCGCTGTTTACATTTGTGAGATACCCTCAGGTTTCTGTTTACCTCAGAAGCTATGAATCCCTGCAGTTATGTGTCTTTTTCTTTTTGTGTGACTCACCGGCTAATATAGAGGGATTCCGCAACATGAAGTTAAATTACAGCTAAGAGCAGCAGGGAAATGATGGGATATGTCTCTCCTGTCCCACCTTATGGTGAGTGACACTTCATATTAGCACATAATGAGGAGTATGTATGATCATCGGATGATGGGGACAAAAAAGGATTAACGGCTTTAATGACTTTAAGGAGGGGATATAGCTATGCTCAGTTTAAGGGGGGAAAAAGATACTATTTATAATTACAAAAAATAAGGAAACTAGCGTTCATAAACATACAAAAATGTAGTTAGCATTATACCCTTCTCTAAAATTCCACTAACATTTTGTGGATTTTCCAGAATTTTATATAATTTTTTCCCCCCAGAATTTTCTTGTTTAAACTTTTCTGAATTTTTTAAAATGTATTTTCAGTGTTTCATCAGCTTTAGACACATTTCCAGTGGACAAGAGCTAATTTATAACTTTTTTCAAGCTGAATGTCTGACAGTACGACACTGAACAGACTGTAGCTATACCTGTAGTTGTTTTGATTTTATTAAAATGAATCACAGTGTTTCTTAGTTCATATAGTTAATATCTCTTAGTTAATATGGTCTTTATTCAGAGTAGTCATCATATTTCATATTTTAAAACACTTTGCTTGTTTAAACTTTTCTGAATTTTTTTAAATGTATTTTCAGTGTTTCATCAGCTTTAGACACATTTCCAGTGGACAAGAGCTAATTTATAACTTTTTTCCAGCTGAATGTCTGACAGTACGACACTGAACAGACTGTAGCTATACCTGTAGTTGTTTTGATTTTATTAAAATGAATCACAGTGTTTCTTAGTTCATATAGTTAATATCTCTTAGTTAATATGGTCTTTATTCAGAGTAGTCATCATATTTCATATTTTAAAACACTTTGCACTTTGCAAACAAAAACAAAGTTGAATTGTAGCAAATGGGACTTTTTCATGAATAAATTTCTGTGTAAATTGTACGTGAAACTATTCTTAACATAAATTGTTGCATTCAGTTCAAAGGGATAATTTACCTACGAATGGTTTAATGAAAAATTTAGAAATTAATTGTGTTTAAAGCTGCAGTCCGTAAATTTTGCCTCTTTGTCGCCATCTCTGTATGAAAACCTGCAATTGCAGCTGTGTGCGGAATTATATTCCATGCGTGGGGTTGTGCTCCAGCGCGGATGAATCTAATGTTTTGAGGAGAATGTGTGGCAGTCAGTCCCGGCACCGGTGTGGATATTTACTGTACTTCGCAATCACAGATTCTAGCCTACATCTTGGAATATATGACCCAAATAAGAATTTTCACCGTATACTGTCATCTGAACAAGTAAGTAACAAGTCTGCCACGTTTGTTCTGACCAACTGAGGAAAAAAGGATTACAATAAATCGTGCTATCAATGGTGATTAAGTGTAACGATCGGTTAGCTCAAATCACATCAAACCATGCAAATTATTATTGTTGTTATACTTTGTTCTCAAATTATTAATGTTAACATCAGCATTGCGTGACTATGAATATAGTGTGTATTAGCGTGTGATTTCAGTTTCTGTACAGTCTAATCTCTAATTGTCATACCATTCAAATTTCATA